TTTAGGTACTTGAACTAAACAAAGAAAATGAGACTGTTAGGTTTAGACAATATCTGCCTTCAGAAACTTGTAATAACTGATATACCAATATCGTATCTTCTCTTGGGACGCCCATCAGGTTCATTAAATTTCGCACAATGAGTCTTCCTAGTCATTTAGGTACTTGAACTAAACAAAGAAAATATGACTATTAGATTTAGACGATATCTGCCTTCAGAAACTTGTAATAACTGATATACCAATATCGTATTTTCTCTTGGGACACCCATCAGGTTCATTAAATTTCGCACAATGAGTCTTCCTAGTCATTTAGGTACTTGAACTAAACAAAGAAAATATGACTATTAGATTTAGACGATATCTGCTTTCAGAAACTTGTAATAACTGATATACCAATATCGTGTCTTCTCTTGGTCTTGTTCTTGGCTGACTTGGTCTTGTCATTTAATTACTCCAACATGCTGCAAAAAGAAAAATCTAACTATTAGATATATGCATAAGTAATTTAGATTATGTTTAGAATATATATAAATATAATACAAGATCGTAACCACCCAATTACTTTTCCAATGTTATTTCTTTGACAGTTAGGGTTCTTCGAGCGTTCTACAAATATACCGTAACGCATTTGGGGGCGTGCGACGACTCTTCTCGTAGTCTCGCGTGTTTTGAAAACATTAGAAGCGATATCGAAGGTTCCGTAAACACGTTTGACACGAATAATGATATTTCGTTTGTCGCTCGACGCGCATTACAGACGGTATTATGATATTCGGTTCCTTTGACATTTAGTTTGCGAAAACACTCGCGTTACAAGTTAAATAAAACATACTGTTTATTTAATCGTCGATTCCTACTTGGACGACGTCGAAGCGGTCCGCACGTTTGCGCCGAAACATGAAACGTTCCATTCCGTGTCTTCGGTTGTTCGTTCTGGTCTAAAATTTTCATCACGAGTCAGTGATGATCTTGTGATTTCCAAGTATGGTTTAAAATATTCACCACGAGTCAGACTCCTGAAAATAGTGCAACGGTTAGACTTCAATATATTAATTGTAGAAACCAGAACTCTGTATAGATAAATAACTGATTTCACCTTGAATACCTTTCAGGAGTTGCAACAGGGCAATGGAGGATTGGGCGTGGTAGGCCTGGAAGGGATGCAGGACACTCAGCACTTGCTGAAGATCAAACAGGAGCCATTCCAGGTGTCCCCACCGTCCCCCCTGCCGTCTCTTCATCAAGGTAAGCGTGGTATATATAACCATACAACCATATTCAACCCTGTTCATACTGCTGCCGTCCATTGGGCGGCATCAATGAAATGCTCTCTGCGTACTCCTGCCGCTTATTATCGGTTTAGGCTGCGACAAAGCAGTACAAACATTTTAGAAATGCTCTCCAAACACCTCAAACGCCAACAGCGACGACTGTCGCGGTCCGAATGAAATGTTTAGTCTCGATCACGCTCGAGATTTCTACGCAAAATGCAAAGTTGCGACCGCTCTTACAAAAAACTTCCTCGTACCACGAATACGCATTAGCTTGTCCCAAAAGTCTCTTCCGTGACTTGCACACAATTATTTCATGTGGCGGTGTTTATACAAATAGACAACCTAATTTCTTAGATGTTAACAGTAATGTGACAGTAACGTGACAAAATGAATTGTACGCAATTCAATAATGTAAGAATAGACACAAAATATTGTTTGTGTATCATTAATAAAATGGAAGAAACTTTTAAGACAACTTAATATAACTTAATATAACTTAATATAACTTAATATAACCGCGGTCAGCTCTTCCGTACAAAAAGAGTTAATCGCTTTGCGTTCGTCTGGGATCAGCACACGCTTTGCAACGACCCGAACACCCAGAAGGGGGCCTTGACTTTTCACGCTAGTATTTACTCCCCATGCTAGTCTCTAAATCAACAGTGCCCTTCACGAGGGAGAGAGAGACCGTAGGAATCTACGTTCAGTCTGCCCTATGGCTATCCCATGTTAGTCCTTATATCAACTGTTCGCTTTGCGAGAGAGAGAGAGCGTTAGGGGCCCAGTCAACTTCGCCGGCAATCCCAGATTCCTCCCCTTCACCGGCGAACTCTGCCCTACATCCAAAACGTCAACGTTCGGAGACAGATGGACCAGGTCTGTTCTAAAAATCGCTCGGAAACGGCGAGTGTCGTTCAGAAATCCGTTTGACGTCATCAGGATATCTCGGCGCGGCGCGGACCAATGATTCCTTCGTCTTCGCGGCCCGCTAAAGACTCGTGTTCTAATAATACAAAACGCAGCTCGAGTGTCGCGCGACGTGGTTGGGATGAAAACTGAGGTAAAGGGGGGGGGGGTACGCGGATGGGAAAAACGAGGCAGAAGAAGAGGGAAAGATAGCCGAAGCGAGGGGCGAGGGGGAGCCAGGGAGAATGATATACCGCGAGAGGCTGCGTCCCCTGATCTTTCCACGCGTCGTTTAGTTACATTCTCCCCCGCGATTACGCTCCTCCGGAGGTTGTCACTGCCTCGTCTTCCACGCTCTCGAGTTCTGCTTCAAGAATCACGCGCGATTCGTTCCTGGTGACTTCCTGAAAATCGAGAACGTTAGCGTCGATAGAAACGTCTCCGGGGACTTGTGTAACGAATTTACATTAACCCTTTGCACTCGTAGCCATTTCGTTACGGAATTCGCAAACAGTCGTACTGCATAATGTAATTACTAACGCGTGTAATTTATTGTAACGATACTCGAGCTTATATGAATCTTTAGACATCGAGGAATGATGTCAAACATCAACAGTTTATACTATTCTGATCTTAGGCTACCTTGTTTATCTCAACAAATTGCACGTCTTACTTTCTTATACAAATGCTCTTTACCACCTCAGAAGAGACATCCGAGTGCAAAGGGTTAGAATGCATGATGCACGCCAGTGTACGGCGCAGTGGCGACTCACCAAAATCCGAACACCCGGTCCCGAGGTGTTGTCGTCGCCATTAAAAATGTCGAACCGTGATCGCGTTCGGTCGTTAATCGCCGCGATAGAGAATTGTTTACAATAACATAACGACTCCGCGAAAGTCCGTGAAAAAGGAAACGGAGCGTTCGCCGATCGGAACGTCCGTTATCGCGCTGCTCAACGGAGCAGGAACATTCAAAGAGGAGATAAAGCCCGATAAAAGAAAGCGGTTGCATGCACGGTCTCGCGTTACCAGATCTTCTTATTCGCTAATCGCTGAATGTCGGAACAGATAGGCCGCCAGACACGATTAATCCGGCCCTCGAGAGTGAAATCTAAGAAGCTCGTTGGCGCGCCGATATCTAGCGCTAATGTGCGTACGGCGATCGCGTCGCAAAGATTCAGAGGCATGCTACCAAGAGATAAAGTCGGCCGAGACCTGATGACGCGGGGAGTTGCGTTTTCAGGTATGTCTTTGTCAATGGTGATGACACGTACGGGCATAGGAGACGTTTGCTTCGTGCTTGGGGAATCTTCAGGGATCGTTCGGTGACTCTTCTGGGTGTTCGGGTCTCTTCTCTTTTCATCATTCAGGCGGCGCGTGAATGGTAGGGCCCAGGCAGGTCCTGCAATGTTTATAGAGTAAGCTGTGATTTGTTTTTAAGCTCGCACCATGCTTCATGCGCACAAATATTTAAACAGAGTCCATTTACAATTTAATATACGGTTCTCTCGTGGATGTACTCAACTGGAAACGATACATATACCCAGGGCGCAACGATAATCTTATCCAGGGCATTAACAGTCCACCCTGAAAATGTTCGTCAAGAATTAGAGTAGTATAAACACAAGTATTAAATAAAAACAGAGTCCACTTACAATTACACTTCTCGATCTCTCCATGAACCCTATGCTATCAGGTTAACACCTACCACGCTGCGGTTAATTTCTACCGACCGAGAGGCACCGATACAACAATCTCCATAAACAAACATATATCTCGCTTCTTTGTTCTCAGACCCCTGCGTTCTTAGCGAGTATCTCCTACTGTACCGTTTACAGTCTTACGGTTGAACCGCGTTATTTTTTTTTCTACATAGCGAGGGACTGTGTCCCTTTGAGAGATAAAGCGATTAGTCCGGGAGGAGGTGGCTCCCTCGGTCAGGAATTTTCGCAGAAGCAACAAGAGCGTCGCGCAAGCCTCACTCGTGTTTTCGAAATCGGCTGTTTAGAGTGCTCTCGTCGCGAGAGTTATGGTCGCTAATCCGGGATGGCTGCGCGCTTCACCCAACGGGAGCTGATATATCGGCCAACGACAAGCGCATTCGGGAATCCTTGTCGACGATTCGCGCTCGTATCCTCGAGATCTTCCTGTGAAAAAAAACAACGTTTCTGAATCGTATTTATACGTGGACACGTGAGAACATCTGTCCTCGGGATCGCCTGATCCGGTTGGTACGCCTGTGAGGCTACTATTCTCTGTGCGTGGACCACGTTTCACCCTTTTAGGGGTATGATTATGATTCAGACATTCACTTTGATACACACCCTGTATTTAATTTACAATATGGATGCCAGGCTGGTTAAAATTCATTTCTGTCCAATGAAAATCAATTCAATAAATTCTTTCTTAATATTTGCTACGGCGATTAATTCTGTGCCTCTGTATTCAATCATTCGATGATTAGTAGCATCAATATAGTGTTCTTAATCCTGCATAGGGTTGGTGGTGTCCATGGAATACCTTTGATTGTATTCAGCTCGAAACATGGATGCCATGTTGCTTGGTATTCATTTCTGTCCAATGAAACTTAATTCAATAATTTTCTTTCTTAACCATTAGCTGTAGCGAATAATTCTGTGCCTTTGTATACAATAACTTGATGCTTAACAACATAAATCCCAGCGTTCTTAATCCTGCACGCATTAATACTATCCGCAGGTAATACATGGATGCCTCCACCCTGTGCGTAACATTTAATTTGTATAATACGTAATCCCGACAATATTCCTACAATTAATTCTCGAATTTCACCCAGCGTACATCCAGTCGGAGAACGACTTTCTTCGACAAAGAATCGCGTCATTCGCTGACACAGCAGCGAAAGGCTTCTGCCGCCGCTTCAGCGTGGCGATTCTGCGTTCCACATTCGTATTACGGTTAACAGTCGTAAGCGAACGCGCTGGGAAACATTTATCGGTCCAATAAAGTGCGCGCGATAAGGCTGGCACGAAATAGTTGACACGCTTATTTATAGACCGCGGATTATCGCGTTAAACGTTGCCCTAATCGCTTGTTCTACGGTAGAACTTCTACCACCGCGATTTTTACGCTCCCTGAGCGTGATTCTGGCTGTGAAGGCGATCATGGAGTTTTGTTAGACGAGTATTAAGTATCGTAGATGTGTATCAAAGTGGTGTATCGTGATTAGGCGATCAAGTATCGTATTTTCGCATCGTTTCGTGTCTGAATCATAATCAGGTGCGAGTCGAGTGGACGTATTGACCGTTGCTCAGGCGTTGGCGAAGCACCATTAAACTAGAGGGGGGCTGAGGGGACAGAGGAGTACTCTCGCTTTGCCTAAATCTCTCCAAAGGAGTTTCTTCGAACAGCCACACTGCATAGTCGTATATCTGATTTTTCGGTCTGAAATCAAAGTTACAAAAATCAAAATGACGGATCCAATATGGGCGACTTGTACGTTGAAAAGTTATTAGATTCGTATGAAATTTCATATACCTGGGTTTTTCGGTTCGCCTAATTACCTTCTTACAAGCTAGAACTAAGCTGTTCCATAAGCTTACAAAATTAGTAAATGTATAAACAATAATAACGCGTAAAGAAGGATACAGTCGATTGCTATTTAACGAATCGTCTACTAACTGCTTGTTTACTCTGGAATTAGGCCGTGGATGTAATCGTAGCGTTAAAATAGATTTCTAGTAAACAAGGGCATGGCTTTGGACTAATCGCTAATGCTTGATAAGGTAATCTTGAATCGTGATCCCGTGGAGCTTGCAATTTTGTGACTTGGTGAGAACGAACACCAGAGAAGACTCCATTTCCAAACCTGCCAAAATAGAACACTCGATTAAAAATCATTTCTAACGCCTTCTCCTTGCAGACGAATTTGTAAACGATTTTTAGAAATATTAAATTAACATTATTCCGTTTGAAACGTACTGTATATCAAAATGTTTTATACTATGCAAATAAAATATACGCTCTACCCTATACAGTCCGGTACTTAAACGACAACATTAAAGATAAAATCATCGCGGGGTCGAGGAGTCGTCGAGGTCGCGCTATAAAAGTTCGCGTTTGTTTACAGTAACGCGATGGACGATTTCACCGCAAGTGTACACCACAATTTGTAGTCAATTTCGTCGCGATCGTTCGACGAGGCTGTTTCGCTGGGATACTGATAATAACGTCGATAACGCATTGACGAGGTACCCCATTGCGAAATGGGCGAGAAAGGGGGCGACTCGAGATAAACAACGCGGCAACGAACCAAGCGAGTCTAAGATGGTCGGGCCCCCTTTGAAATTATCTCCTCGAAGTTAAGTAACTCCTCGCCTTTGTTTTCTGGTAGCAATTCAGTAAAGGAACAATAACACGCAAAATTTTGGGGCTGTTGGACTTCCTCCAGCTTTAATAAGTTTAGTCCCAGGCTATCTATCTGAGTAGGTAGATTCAGTGCAGATATGGATTCATAGTTGGAAACTTGAACTCTTGGTAATTTAAGTTGACAAAGCATCAGTGAATTAACTTCCACACCTAAAAATTTGAGACTTTGGTTATCTATGCATATAGCTTCATTGCAGAGATGAATTCGTAGTTGGAAATATGGAAGCTTGGTAATTCAACGTACCAAAACTACAGGGAATTAACTTCTACGCCCAAAAATTTGAGACTTGGGTTATCTATGCGAATGGGAACCTTGGAGGAACCGTACATTTTCAAAAATGTTATGCTACCATAAGTTTGTCCTGTATAATCGCTAATAAAATTTGTCTGGACTAACGATGACCTCATCTGAAAATAATCATCATCTAACTGTATTTTGTAAACGCTGTTTACCAATTACAAATTCATGCGCAAATATTCATGTACCTTGCATTAATCATAGTTCTAGTTCTTCCCAGCGATTAAGTTTGTATTTATAGAAGCTCCTGCTGTATGTTTAAACTTCCCCCTACGCAACAGGAGTAGGCAGGGTCGAGGGTTAAGCGAGAACCCTAGAATTCGACCCCTGCTGAAGTTTTGCCGCCACCGTTAACGGTAATACTGCGTTATGGATACGCTTTCGAGTTACTATCCAGAGGCACGTGTCCTTCTGGGTGGAATGGATGCTCCTTAATTAGCTGGATGGTTCATTAGGCGTGCCACGCGCCCCGGGGGTCATAATATTCAATCGCGAACCTTTTCATGCGCCATAGCGTAGTTAACTGGCTGTTATTCAACTCCGACACCTAGTATACCTTCAGAAAACGAAGCACAGTTGTTGAATCTTCCAGGACGAGCATTCTGAAACAGAAAATATAGGACTCTTAGTCGTGGCTATTCCAATAATAAATATCAATAATAAAATATGTTAAAAATCAATGGTTTCAATTACAAGACCAATTCCATGCATAAGTGTTAGTTTGAAGTGTCTAGATTTCAAGATCCTCACGGTAAAGTAACACCTCGTCGCCCTCTCCGTGAAATCCCATCGACAGCCATACGCAAACGGTGTCGTACCTTGCGTAGAAAAATATATAGAGAAACCGTGCGTATCCCCCGGCGCGAAGGTCGTCGCAGAAAAACCATGGCATTCGCATTCCTGAAATGCTGCGAGTTCCGTCGAGGAATCGGCGTGCGGCGCCGATAAGCGAAATACGATACGTCGTGACGTCACACTGCAAGCCCATGCTTCTCTCCGCTGCTCTGCAGAAACTTTCTTTCGGTTTTCTTATGCGATTCCGTGGGCTCTAGGTTGCCCTACAAACAGAGGAGTTTTACATGATCGCTTTAGAGCTACATACAAGTGGATATAAAGTAATTATTTTAGGACGCATAAGAACTCATAGACACACAAGTGAATGGTCCATTGTTTAATATTAGAGCTGTATTATTTACGCAATACTGTAAGTGACTTGTCTCTACAAAATATAATCTTGCATCTTTAAATTATGGTACAGTACCATCAAATCATTAATGGAATTATTATTCTTATCAGCTGTAATATACAGGGTGAGGCATTTGGAACAAGCCAGCCGAATAATTCGCTTACTTTTAGCGACAGAAGAAAGAGTGTCGAGCAAGAGATTAAACTAATATTTAATATTGAAATATATAATATAATATATGTATTTAATGTTTCGTTTAATCGTGTCGATACGTCGAGAAGTACGACAAAAGTTTGACCTCATTATCGCCGTTCGTTTTCGAAGAAACGTGAACTCGTTTCGCGAGCCTGTAAAGTCTGCAGAATCTACCGACGTTGTCTGACCGACATATATCTGCAACGTTACAACAATATCGCCGCGAAGGCCAAACTTTCGCAAGCCCTGTTACACCACAGCTTTCCACGTCGAGCTGAACGTGGCGTTTTTTCCTGTGCCAGTTACGTAATCACTTTTCCAGCTCGAACAGCTCCCAAGGTCTTTGTATACTATATGTATACTACATACTACACTTACAGTAAAAAATCGAAATCTTATACATGTTTCCAACATCCGATAACGTGTGAAATAGTCGCCTATATGCATTCAGAGTCCTCTTCGGAGGCTACCGTTTCTACTTCGACTCTGTCGAAGCCTCAGAAAAAGCCTAACTTCCCTTTCGAATAACAAAGTCAGGTAACAACAGTTCCCGGAACTTCCTGGAATTATGTTGCATTATAAATCTGACATAAATGGATTAATTCATGGATATCAGGAACTTTTATCAGGAGACCTGGGAAATCCGTGTATTCGTATTTTCCTGTTGAGAGTTTAAATCGAAACAAGGGATCCCGTGACGAGAGCAGATGCGGTCTGGCGGGTGTCGCGTAGCGATCTCCAGTTGCAGTCAGGTGTGTTGGCGAAACGTTCGACGTTATCGCGATCTCGTTGCTTGCTTGCGCACCGTCGATCCGCCTAAGAAGACGTAGGTGCACGACACTCGCGTGCACCGCGAGCTCCCATTCGTCTTCATCGGTCGTTAATGTTGATATCGCTTGTCAAACAGGGACACGCCATCTGCAAAACGTAACAGGCGATCAACACCGGAACTTTTGAAAATGAAGAGTGGAGAAGCAAAGATAACGAACGCTTTGGATCACCAGAGGAATATTCTTGAACATCTCTGCTGGGATCTAGAATTATTTAGACTGTTGGAAACTGTATAAAGATTTGTCGTGGACACAGTCTCTTGTCTTCTTTTTATTCCACGTTGCTAGAGATTTCTTGGTTAGACGATAGAGCAGCGACTGGGTGTACAGGTCTCGAAAAGCGTCTCCTGACCCTACCAATAATCCATTTGGCTGAAAACGCGATACCGCGTTCAGCTTTCAAAACATTGCTCTCCTAGTGTCCCGGACGAACCTGGAAATCATATGCCCCGGAGGTTTGCGTTAGCGGGATATCATGTTTGCCTGGGATTCGCGTATCCCAGGATCGCATGTGACCGATAACAATGTAATCGAACGTCGACCATAGGAAATTGGAGGCACTCTCTCTCTCTCTTCCTCTCTCTCTCTGCGGTCCTATTTCCAGTGGAAAAACTCACGGGGACCGCAGAAATATACAGATAGAGTCCTACTGTAAGAGAGAAACAAAACCGCGGTACCTGACTCTGCCTACCGATTTTTAAATCATTTCTGTATTAACGATACATAGTTATCGTTCATACTTTGAATAATTACATGTACACTTTGCATTTACGTTGATTGAAAGTACAACGGGCACAGCGTTTTTTTTTCTACAATATCTCTATCGCCGAGGACTCTATTCATCAGTTCCCTTTTGTTCTCCTTCACCCGTCCCTCCCTCTTCTTGCTCCGTGCTTAACTTATCGGTGTCCGGTTACGTTCAGTTCCAGTTACACGTGCCGCGTATAACACCGATGTTCGCTCGACGCCGTGGGCACGTACGCACTCCTTTCCTCATACGTGTTCCCTCCGCGTTTTCCAGCTACTTCCATCCTACTTTCTAAACGTTGACGCCATGTTTCTTCTTTGTTTCTTCTTCTTTTCCATGTACTAACTTTCTGTACTAACTTTCTGTACCGTGGTGCTACTGTAGGGCAAAGTAGAAGAAGGTTATTGGAAACTTTTATTACAATGAAATGTACTGAATACCTTAGATTATTCACCTTTTACGCCATATCTTTCTTCCTACTTGACAAAAGCACCATACACGATGAGACGTCCATTGTACAACAAAGGTAAAAAGAACATTTGAATATTTATAGTTGGCCAATTCGGTCCCACTTGTGAATTCTAGTAAATCTTGAACCCTGCGTCTGTTCTATAGTACAGAGAGTATTTAAATGCTAGAATATTATGGAGCACTTGGAAGAAGGACCTGCAACAAAATAAGATTCAGCGTTCTACCAGCTGAGAAGCTGTTGCAGCGCCCGTGGGTGGTCGCTGTAATTTCTGTGGTACCTTTCGCAGGTGCGATGGCACCGGATTACTATCGGCGTCCTGAATCACGATTTCTCCAAACAGTCCACGCTTATCGCTACCGAGGCGCCCGTGTCTCGGGTGTCGGAAGGCGAGTTCCCTTCAAAGACCCAATTGTTTTAACCCCGGAGGTTTCTGGGAAGCGGCTACCGTGTGGTCGTGTCGCGCGCATGTCTTGAGTCCATTGTCCAGGTTCCCGGAGTCCCTGGCTGTCTCCGATTGAAATCACCTCGCTTCTAGGGCTCTCCTCGTCTCCTCCTTGAACGATAACCACTCAAATACTCGAACAAATACGCGAGATAGATATTACCTTCGCTTTTCCTGTTGAAATCCATTTTCATGAAGAAGAAGCTTCAGGGCTCCATGGTGGATCAATTGGTAGCTCATGAGACATTAAAGGACCTGCAATGGGAAGTCTCATAGCAGCCTAGTTCTAGCACCATCAGATTCCCACTTGTTTCTTTCTGAAAATAGAATACTTGAATCAGAAAACATTGCAGTGGTCGCATGAGTCGATAGTAAAGAAACCTTCTGCTACAAGAACCATGGAATCCTCGTTGAATAGGTTAGAATGAATCGGTTGGAATGAAATGAACCCGTTTCAGTGAGCAGCTTCGTGCCGGAGATGCAGAACGGTTGCATGGGTTCGAAGGAGTTGGACGGGTCGGTGAGGCTGGCGAAGAACCTGACGTCGCACCACGGCTCCCGCGGTCATTACCACTCTCACCACGGGCTCCACAGTCCCAGCTCGTCCGTGTCGATGCATTCGACAGGGTCCGGTCATCATCACCAGGAGGAGAAGGGCTCGTCCCCCACGAGCGGGCTCCACAGCACCACGAATAGCAATCCTCCGACGCCCTCGGCGCCCTCCGTGCCCGCCACGTCCTCGGACGTGTCCGCTGCCAACTCGGGAAGCGGAAACGACGCCGGGAGCGCCAACGACGCCGCGAACAAGAAGCCACCGTTCAGCTACGTCGCCCTGATCACGATGGCGATCCAGAACACCGCTCAGAAGAGGGCGACGCTCAGCGAGATCTACGCCTACATCACCGCCAGGTTTCCCTACTACAAGATGGACAAGAAGAGGGGCTGGCAGAACTCCATCAGGCATAATCTGTCCTTGAACGAGTGCTTCGTCAAGGTCCCCCGCGACGGAGGCGGCGATCGCAAGGGCAACTTCTGGACGATCGGTTGGTGATCGACGTTACGCGACTTTACAAAGTAACATTGCCCCAGACGGCTACACGATACTGTCCAATTTGCAGACCCGCAGTCCGAGAACATGTTCGAGAACGGCAACTTCAGGAGGCGTAGACGCATGAAGCGACCCTACAGGAATACGCCCTATCAGAAACCGCTGTTCGACCCCTTTTCCACCACGCACGTCCACCTGGGCCCTAGGAACCTGTTTGCCCACTCGCCACCGTCCTACGCACCGCCTCCGTACACCAGATACGACACCAGGTATGACAGTAGATATAGAGTTACTGTTTCAGGACCACGAGCTCTTGTATTCTTTTTTTGGTAGTAAATTTGACCAGTAACGAACGAACTTCTAGTTCTTAAC